CTTTCTCTTTTTGAAGTCTGAAATAACCTACCTGCTGTCTGTCAACCACTTTGAAAAGCTTTCATCATCCCTTTCTCTCTTTTCAGTTTTATGCTGCAGAGAGCTTTCTTTTCTGCCTCTCCATCTTTAGTTCCCTGTCATCAGACAACAATACAATTCAAATTGCACCCCAGTGCTTTCTCCTCTAGGAATAACTTTTCTGCCTTTATATTGGCGCCCCTTCTGACGTAGCACCCTTATCCCTCTATAGTGCACACCCACTTTTTGCACCATTGGCATAGATCCACTTTATTTTTTTTTAAATCTTACATAAATATGCAGAGCTCATCTCTGTGTCTACAGGGTCCTATCCTCCATAATGTCTACAGACATTACGGAGTATACTAAGAAGCCCAGCACATTCTTCACACACTTTACTCTTTAAGCTGATGCTGGTGTCCAGACAACATCTGAAAGTGTTGCCGGGTTCACTTTGTGTCTCTTAAATGAAATGACTTCCAACTCTATGCTTTTATCCAACTTCTTGCATAAAAGCAAAAAAATATTTCCCCAGATATTCCCTTTGTGACACATCTCTGTCAAAGCTGTCCAGTGTAAAAGGGCTCAACAAACTGGACAGCCAATCATCAGACAGACACCTACGCAAGGTACCGGTGCAGAGCCTGTGGCACCGTCACCAATTAACATTCCCATTAAACATTCCAAACAGCATTCCATGCCAGATGTTGAGGTAACCCCGCTTCACCTTTCCCTTGGCCCCCACTCACACCATGCAGCACATGGTGTGAGTACAAAGCTTAGTTCATGTTGCCTCGGAGCGGGACTTGGCTAAACAATGCAATCATTCCCTAACGTTCCTCCCTTTACTTCCCGCTTCCGTTGACTCCACCTCCCAATCCTCCCCCCTCCTGAACTGATCCCTCCACCAGAGCAAGGCAGACAATATGCAACAGACTGCCATGTCAGCACACTCAGACACAGCGAGTCACACGTCTGTCCTGCCTGTTGTGTTTCCAGGATGTTCGCAGAGCTCTCTGGGAAACACCCTTACCTGTAAAGAACTCTTTGTCTTCTTGAATGCTCATCCTCATCATCATCGCCCGACCCGCCGGAGCAGCGGGCGGGCGACTCTGTATTGGTCAGTCTGTTTTGAAGCATGCATTTGGTATCATTAATGTCACTCTATGTGTTGGTAAATCATTTAGGCTACTTGTCACTTCTGTGTGCTATTATCTCTCCACATCTGCTTTCTTCCTCTTTACCTCTCACGCAAAAACACACACAAACACACACACACATCCTTACATCCCATTTGGAGTTTAATCTGTTCCAGCACCTCTGAGCACAGAGACATCAGTGCTTTTTGTAGGAAACGTGCAGCGCGCCGATTGAACGGGGGGAGAATGTGCAGAGGGGGTGTGTGTGTAATTTGACTGTGCAGCTCCGGGCTTCTCCGTTCGGCCGTCGGATCCACGCGTCCATCCAGCCACGTTACATGATGTTGTGAGACAGTTTCACAGAAGGCGAAAACCACAATGTGAAGAAGAAGAAGAAGAAAAAAAAAAGAGTATATTTATTGGAATTATGAAGTGTACGACTGCACCACAACTGTACAGATCGCCCAAATGTGCACATGTGCATCTTTGATTTTACAGGTACCATGTTCCTGTTACACTTTTTTTTTTTTTAAGTTTCTTTCTTTAAAATCCTATTGCTTTACGTAAAGAGAGGAACAACAACATGGAAGTGCTTGTATTATATTATTATTATTATTAATTTTTCTCCACCGGTGCTCCCACTGATGGAAAAAGACAGTTGCACATTCTCCTGAGCATATTCTGAGGGCTGTGTTTTCTGTCCACTGAACAGCTCCCTGAGGTGAGCAGAGGAACTTCAGGTCTTTTAAGACACCGACTCTGTAAATAAGAACTGGAGACAGAAATGTACCTCATTACGACCTGAGGGATCTGACAAAAACTTGGGAGGGTTGGGGGCGGAGGGGTCCGTGCAGAGGAACAGGAGGCGCCATGCAGAGCTAGAGTCTGCAGAAGTGCACTGCGTCCTCGCATTGTTTAGGCTGCTCTCTTAGATCTGCCACCAGTGTTTACTGCCAGGGTACGCGGGGGTCAGAGTTAAGGTTTTACATTATTCATTATACATACTGCTGTAAATATTCTGTGTGGAACGGTCCCCCCTCCACACCCTCCCACTTCTTGCACAACGGCAGTGCCGTTCGGCAGACAGAAAACACAGCCTTAACTGTGCTGAAATGACATTTAAAGAGCAAAAAAAGTTGCAAAAAAAAACAAAAAAAAAACAAGAGCAAAAGCAAAACAAAAAAAATCTAAAGACTATTGAATATATTAAAGAGTTACCTGCCTGTTATTTAAGCGAATAAATATCTATATATGAGAAAGAACACACCTGTATACTGTAGACTAAATCTGTATTGAAATCTAAGAGAATTTAATGGGAAATAAGTCCAACACCTTTTGTCTGTATGAAAGAAAAAAAAATCCATCAAAGTATTCTACAATAATAACTTTGACAAACTCTGTCTGGTCTTGTGTTGTTTGTTCAGGTAACACAGTGGCTCCTTCCTTCCCCAGAACAAAAAAACAAAAAAAAACCTGAATAATATTTTTTTATATTTTTGCTTTTGGTCGCCTGCTGTAAAGATTCAGATGTTTTGTTACCCTGGGAAGATGCAGCACTGTGAGAAACAAACTGCTTCCTTAAAGATATATTCTGTTTTTACTTCCATGTCACACATACATGTTTCTTAAATTCAAACAAATGTTAATAATCTGACAAAGATAATCTGAGTAAATACAAAAAGCACTTTCAAATGATTTTTTGAGTATATTCAAAATTATGTCATGTCATTCATTGAGGAAAACGTTTTGCTCCTGAACTAACGGCTTTTGCCACACTTCGCAGCAAAAAACCCCATCAAGTGTTTGTGGTAAACAACAGGGTGTCTTTTACATCTTTGTGGAGAAATTTTTGGTGTCTTTTCTTTGCATGCTTGTTTCAGTTCATCTAATTTAGAGGATTTTTGCAAGATTTGTGTCCCAACTTTAACTAGACATTTGCAAAACCTTCAATTAGCCTTTTTCTGAGCCTTTTCTAGGTGGACTCGCTGGTTTGATTTAGATCAGTGTTTCTCAAACATGGTCCTCACTGCCCCCCTGCTCTGCATGTTTTAGATGTGCCTCTATTCCAGAACAGCTGATTCAAATGATTGCATGACCATCAAGTACTGCAGTCGCCTGTTAATCACCCAGAGATACAATTCAGGTGTGTGGCAGAAGGGAAACACCTAAAACATGCAGCAGTGAGGAGCAGGGCTGAGAAACACAGCTTTAGAGCATCAAGCTGCTAAGATTAAGGTCACAGACTGATGGCCAGATATTCAACTTCAGGAAGAAAGACCAGAAAAAACAAACAAACAATGAAAACAAGTTCCTGAAGATCTCATGTTTGACTGTTATGGTATTCTTTTCTGAATGTTTTAAAGTTTTAGTCTTGATGTAACAATCTTCATGAATCCATGGAAGACTTGCCCAAAGTGTTGGGATGTTTTCTGTAAGTGAGACGTTCCTTGTCATTCCGTTTGGTCAGCAGTGGCCTCAGCTTTGAATGTTTCCATAGATATTTGCTCAGTCTCTTTCTTAATGATGAGTCATGAACACTGACTTTAACCGAGACAAATGAGACCTGCAGTGATTGGTTTAGCGTTAATCGTTTGTGCGCTCAGGTAGGCCAGCCACTCCAGTAAAGGTTCACCACTGTTCCATGTTTTCTTCATCCGTGGATAGTTTTAGAAATAGGTTTATAACCTTATTCAGAGCATAATTTCTTTAGTGTGTTGCTTTTGTATATTTTTAACCACCTTCATGTTGTCAGATGAGTTATCTGTGTATTTCCTGATTCAAGAGGTCAAGCACTAAAATCGAACCAAAAATGTGGCCAATTGCTGTTATAATTTTAAACAGGACCAGGTTAGTTTGGAAAACATTTTTCCCATTAATAAATCAAATTTGATCATATTTTGAATTTACTCAAGTTATCAAACACATTAAAATATGATTATTTAAAACATGAGTGGGATATGTCCAAATCTGATGTTAAAACAATAGGAATATGTAAATGTAGAATTTTTTTCATTGGAAGGAGTTAATGGAAAATTATTCATGTGTTCTCTTTTCTCATTGAGAAACTATCAAATGTGACAAAGTTATAGCCAGTATGGAAAAGAAGCCTTATTTAATCCTCATATCCAGAGAAGCAGAGTTGTGTATTCTGACCAGGTCCACCTGCAACTACATCTTCACATCTGGCAGATGTAGTTGCATCTGGCAACCTTCATTATGCTGAGCTAAGATTCAGTATCCACACTGTGTAAAAACAAGACTTCAATCAGTTTCACAATATGGCCAGACCATACAAATTGTCAATACTTCAAGTGTCTGAGGTATTGAACAAGCAACACCAAACACCAATAGGGGGCAGTACATTATTCAGTACCAAATAAAAGCCTTTTTTTTTAGGTTGACTGATGTTGACAAGTGAAGCAAAATCATGTTTTCTTCTCAGTAAGCTGAAATGGTTTTCCTTCATTAGTGAAAATGTAAAATTATTGAGTCTTGCTCCAGTGTGCCTGGAACAATGAGGTTAAATATTGGCCTGACTAAATGAAAGCATCTGAAGTTTAATACTTGCTAAATTCCACCAAACCCTGATATAAATATCCTCACCCATATTGGAAGTGAACTGATCAGTCTTTACCCCCAGAATCGGAACCAAACATTGAGAAGCACCATTCAGTTTTTATGCTCTAATCTAGAACAATGTTCCAGAAAACTGCAAAGATGCTGAAACACTGAGTTCCCTAAATCAAGGCTAAAACCCCACCTGTTTATTAGTTGATCTTGATTAATAAAAAGTGGATCATTTGTAATTTTAGTCTGTATTACAACTTTTTATTGCTTTCTTTTATTTATTCCTGCAATGTTTTATGCCTCCATAAGGTAAAGTACAATAATGTTCAATATACTCATTTATTTGCCTTAACAGCCACTGATGTGGGAGCATAGACCAGAGTTTCCCAACCCTGGTCCTCAAGGCACACTGCCCTGCATGTTTTAGATGTTTCTCTGCTTTATCACAACCCATTTAAATGATTGCAGTTCAGAAAAAGCTTGTTAATCAGCCATCAATTGAAATCATGTGTGTTGAAGCAGGAAGATACCTAAAACATGCAGGGCATGGTGCCTTGAGGACCAGGGTTGGGAAACACTGGACCAGAGGATTTGTCAAACCAACTACGGCCGACTGAATTCTTTAAAGACAAAACAGGGAACGTCTGAAGGGTAACCAATATACCAATAGGTGGCAGTACAGATTACTTTTCTGTTCCACTCTCCCAGGAAATATGAATACAAAAGCACCTACAGCTAAAATGAGCTAAAATACAGTACATTCAGAAGTATTTTAAGTTCTTCACTTTTTCCACATTGCCAGGGTGGTATGTCTTTTCCAAGCACACTGTGCTACAAAACAGCACTGATAACTACAACTTGTTATAAAAAATGCTGTCTATGTGAAACAAAAGACATTTGAAACCTTAAAATTAGCTCGTTTAAGATCCTCTTCTTTCCAGCACTCTGCCTTCAGCACATCATCACAAAACTGTTCCTCCATGCTGCCATTTAGAACCGCTCCTAAAAGTGTTGGCCTAAGTAGTTCATGAGAGCTCAGAAAGGCAGGTCCACCAGGTGTTGGCTAACAGCTGCTGGTCAGAAGGAGCCAAGTGGAGGAACTGCAGGTGAGCTGTGCTCTGACAGGTGAAGCTTTATGGAAATATGTAGCACCTTGTTTACTTATTCCATTATTTCCACAATAAGTTAACTGACTGAGCCAAGTGAAGCAAAATCATGCTTTTTTTTTATCTCAGCAAGCTGAAATGGTTTGCCTTCAGTAGTGAGACTGTAAAATGATTACAAGTCTTGTTCCAGACTCGTAATCTGGACACCCAAATGTTGGGGGAGATTTTACAATTTCTCAAATATGTATGACAAATTCAAAGAAACACTCCAGGAAAGTCTTTGATGAGGGAATAACATGATGTAAAGCTTGAAAAAAAAAGTATTTTACATTATACCCTGCCTTTAATCTTCCTTCAAAATTCTACAGACACCAAATTATGACAACATGGAAAAAAACTTTTGAGATTTTACTGATCAACCATAAAATGTTTCTACAACTTAGGAGTGCACCTGTGGTAAATTCAGATGATTGGACTTGATGTGGAAAGGCACACACCTGTCTATAGATGGTCCTACAGTTGACACTGCAAACATGAAATCAAAGGAATCATCTGTAGACCTCAGAGACAGGATGGTCTTGAGGCAGAAATATAAAGAAGGATCCAGAAACACTCCTGCTGCTCTGAAGGTCCGATGAACTCCGCCTCCATCGTTTAGCAAAAATCTCAAACTTTTTCTCACATTGCTGCTCACATGGGGTATTTGTGTGTAAAATTTTGAGGAAAAATTGTTTTAATAAGGCTGGAATATAAAATGTGGAGAAAGTGAAGTGCTGTGAAAACCTTCTGGATGCACTGTAGTTGGGCAGATAAATGAAATGAATCTTTCTATGCTCTATAATTCCATCCAAGGGGGACTGTCATCTGTTCTGACAACCGTTACCAGACTTGACCCAATGTTCAGGGAAAGTTAAGACCTTTATCGGCAGAGCTTGCTGTTTAGAAAGAAAAAAGAGATGCATTAATATCAACAGTACACAACAAGACTCAGCAGATATTTAGTATTTTACACACAGAGAATGGGATTTATTTGTCCAACATTTCTCAGAGCATTTACGTGAAAAGAAAATATATTCAAAATTAAACATTTACAGTTTATTAGATGTGATTTAAAAATTAACTGTGATCAGTTCTTTTTTTTTAATGTACATTTCAATATACAATCAATATACAAATTGCTCCGAGTGCTGTAGGAGCTTTGCTGATACAACCAAGAGCTACAGGTGATGCAGAATGTGGGTAAAAATTAGATTACATATACCATTTGTTACCGGTACTCCCTTTAAAAAAATACCAGGCCACGTTGCAGCTGCGTGTCCAGCTTCGTCACCTCCCATCAGCAGAACTTTAGTATAAAGAAAAAAGGTGGCGCTAAATACATGTATTCTTCGGTAAACAGGTATTGGTTCACAAAGAGATTTTTTTTTTGTTTGTTTCATCTGATAGGGAGAATGTGTTTTCTGTTTTCTCTTTTCCTTTTAAGATCAATTACTTTACAGTTTGACAGATTTTTGATCACTCTTTGTGGACCCTTACCATTATCTTATCAAACAAGCACTAAGAAAACTGAAGCCTAACACTTAAACAAATTATTTCTTACAACAAAACAAAACTGAGCAAAGTGCTCAGCATCCATTAATTGGGAACATTTGATATATTAAAATAAAAAAAAAGTACTGATGTTGCTGCTGAATGCTGAAGACAGAGAGAAGTTTCTGTCTATTCCTTACCATGGCGTCAAGCAGGAAGAGGGAGTTCAGAAAGCCACTCATCCCCCATGGCGGAGCAACCATTACCTAGAAGAAACTGTCAACAAGGTTTAGCAGTAACGTGTACTCATCCCACCAGAACAAATAGCATAAATCACATGCACATTCTGCAGTTCTTAGGCAGCTCTAATTAACTCAGTGTTCATCCATCCTGATAAAGTTCAGTACAGAGTCGCATACGGTTTAGTCTCAATATGAGAAAACAGAAGTACTTGACCCTACATTTTGAGCGACGTGCTCGCGCTCTCTGCACACTTTGGGCAGAATTCGACTGACACGTGGTTCTTGTCTACATGCAGGCACACGCCGCCAGACGTCTCCTTCTCCTCCACCTTCACCCGCTTCCTGGGCAACGCATAATCGTGCTCGTTAGAGCGTGGCCCCTGGAAAAGCGAGGAAGATAATTTCATCCCATTCACACCGCTCAGTCTGGACAAGAGCTGGGCTAACATGCTCTCATTGGCCAGCACAGCCCTCAGATACCTGGTTTCATCCTCCAATTCTTCCACCCGTTTAGTCAACTGACAGTTCTCTTGTTTGAGCACGGCGTTCTCCGTTGACAGAACGCCAACCTGCTTCTCCAGGCTGTTGACGTGCTCCTTCTTCTTGAGACGGTTCAATCTGGCAGCGATGGCGTTTTTGTTGATGACGTGGTTCGACTGGTTTTGTCTGTTTTTCATCCTGGAGCCGGAAGACGTTCTGTCTGGAGATGAGCGGGATGAAGCGTCAAACCCCGAGTCTTGGTTTATGTCGCTGCATGCTTCTAGATTGGCAAGATCGACGCCAAAAAGTAGAGAGGAAGAATCTTTTTCTAGAGTCCACTTTAAATCTTCAAACAGGTCATCTAGCTCAATTCCTGGATGATCGATGTCATCGGCAGCAAGCGCATCAGAAGGGCTGGGAAGATCTTTATCGTTTTCCACTACTTCCACCTCCTCAACGTCTACTGATGGCATCTCCATGGCACGGCTTCTTCTCCTTGTGATCATCGTGTTCTGCCAATGAGATCGCAAAGACATTGAATAAAGAGGTTCTTTTAACGCCGCACCTGTGGAAACATAAAACTTCATTGTTAAATCTTACAAATAAACGCAGATAAAGTAGATATGAATTACAAACAATTTTCAATTAGTAAATTATTTAATCTATACAAGTCTTTCAATAAAACAATATAAATATTTCACTAGAAATCCCTTAGCTCCCTACATAAAAAACTTAATATTTTTTTGCCTTTCAGTTACGTACTGCTACTGAAATATTAGTAATTATTTTACATATGATGCAAAATAAGGTTTTTAAAATCACCGTAATAAAATATTGCTTTTGATAAACATGTTGACAGTAAACAGCATGAGGTACTCTGGATAGGTTTATGCAAGTAGTGAAAGCTAACCCTCTTTTAGTCCGCGCTATCACATCGTCACGTGACACAAGTGACGCATGTCCAAAACGTTGTACTAACGTTGTGAACTCCGTTAGCTTTCCCTAACATGCCACAAAGTCACATTTTGTTCGTGAATTGTCTTCTGAAGGAGGTTTTTTTTAAAGCAAAAATAAATAATGAACACATTCTGTGCTTAGTCTTAACCTAATTGTCGATAAGGTAAGCTAGAGCCTCTATAGCTTAATATAGGCCGTGCTAGCTTCCCCGCGCTTTTGATTAGCATACAGCTAATGATAAAAAACGGTGCAATAGCATTAGTTTGGGTATGCTAAAGTCACTATACGACGAGTTAAGAGTACCAAAAATGTGGTAACTCTGTGTAATGAAAGCCTGTTATGAACAAGAAATTCCCTGACTGTGCCTGAGTTAGCCTTTGTGTTTAGCCACAGGCCAACAAACTGAGCTAATGTGACGCAGCATTTTCTTCGCACAAATACTTACCAGCCCGAGTCAAAAACACAAAAACTGTGGAAAAGTCAAGTAGTAAAAGTGTGTCGGCGGCCAAAAGCGTTATAGATATATATTATTTCTTCAAATTGAACACAGCTAAAACTTGTGAAGAGCGAGGTACCTTTGACCGTCCAAAGCAACTTCTTCTTCTTCTTCTTCTTCTTCTTCACGGAAGTTTGCATTCAATTTGTTGCATTATCGCCATCTTCTGGGTGAAATGTTCATTACACTTCTACTACACATTTCTACAAGACTCTTAATGAGGCAAATATTCTTAAACTTTCCTTTGAATTCAGTGTTATTTTATTGAAATAACATATCTTAAAAAATCGGTTCCCATAAGTCATATAAGTCATATTCCATAAGAATAATATTCTTTTATTTTCATATTTCCTACACATGGACACCTTGTACAGTTTTCTCAACATTATGATTACAAAAAACAGCATCCTACAGGATGTTTTTGTAATCAGCCTGTAGGATGCTGTAGTGACTAATTCTTATTTTTACTTAAATTCCTTTTTGGTAAAGTGCATTGATATATTTGTTGTGAATTGGTGCTGTATAAATATACTCAGTTGAAACTAAATTGAGAGAAGCATTTCTTCTGACTTGAATTTATTTTATGTCTGCCTAATTTTAGGCAGACATAAAATA